CATGTCCTCGCACCGCGTTTCTGGCTTGATGTCGAATTCCCTCAGATAGATTTCCAGTTGGGCCTTGTTGTAATTGCTGATCCAGCTTCGAGTCAGCTTGTCTTCCATCTTTTAATCCGTGCTGTGTTGAGGGAGAGCGTAAATGATCTTTGTTGGTATTTTGAGGTTTCTATCTGTTTGTTTTTAACCTGTTCGAGGGCCACTGTAACGACCCTGTTTTGGGAGGCGGTATAGCTCGCCGTGGTCAGGGTTCGTGACAGATATTTATATTTTTTTCTCTATAGATCGATTTACCTCCCTTTCCCCAATAATGACACAGAGGGATAAAACTAGAAAGGAGACGTGTATTTCAAAGTAATCGTATAATATATGTTGATCGTGTAGTTGTGTGTAGATGCGTCGGGACTGCTTGCTTTGTCGATTCGGCGCTTCGGAAGGGCCGAGTGATGAACTGCTTGCTGTCGTGATCCGGTGTGCGAGTGTCGGGCTGCGAATGGGCCGAGTGATGAACTGCTTGCTGCGAGGTCGGCGCTGCGGGAGTGCCGAGGGATGAACTGCTTGAGAGATCTACTTGGTTCTAGTGGGATTCGGGAATGTAGGGCATCGTTAGTTTCGGTCTGCCGGGCATCGTTAGGTTCGAACTGCCGTTTCTACATCCGTTTCGTTTCCGGGTCGGGAGCCGGAAACGTGACGTCTGGGGGAACTCACTGAGGTGGGCCTGTATTACGAAAACCGGGCCGCCTCAGTGCACACGACTGGGTCTGGGCTGATTTCTAGGAAACCATACCGGGACGTCAATGATCCTGTCCAGGTCGTAGAACCGATTTAAAAACCGCGTTCTTGAGGATCCACTACTACTACCAAGACTATCAACCAGAACACTTACCCTTGTTGCTGATGTTTCCTCGAAGATCGTCGGAACGCAAGTGACTCATCTGGGGTCTTGCCTCTGCTTATATAGGCCCCGTTGAGTGTGCCCAGAGTGGTCGATGACGAGAATCCCGATCTCGATAACTCGTTATCGGGTCACGAATATAGCGATGGTAGTCGACTATCGGTATATTAGTGTGACCGGTTTAATGTTTTTTGGGCGCGCGTTTTGAAAGTGCGCGATTTTGGCGCGTGTTTTGAATGTGGTGTAGCGTAGGGAGAATAAAAGATCATTGTGTGTTGTTTTTGGAATGTTCTTTTATTATTTGTGACGCTGGGTCGTCACAGAAGCTTGATGTAAACTTTTTTATATACCTTAAAAATGAATGTCTGCGTATTTAATTCATAGTTTCGTTTTACATATTTAAATTAAAGCTAAAAACATAACTTTTAATACAACACATATAAAACTGCTTGATTAAATTTAAAACAAGAAAGGAAAGCTAACTTCGGGTGGAGCCGAAGTTGATATACCCTTGCAGAATACTCTGTAAATTATATTCTCCAAAATTATTCATATGATGCATTCTTAATACTCATAAAAAATCCCAACTTCCTAACTTTAAAAAACACCAAAGTTATGGCATTTCCAATCGTTCAGTTATATAGCAGCTATAGGATATAGTTGGCCGATCCTTATGAAATTTGATAGGTCGGATTGATTGGCTAAAAATAAAACCCATAGACAATCTCAACTTCCTAACTTAACAAACACAAAAGTTATGGCATTTCCGATCAATCAGTTATAAGGCGGCTATATGATATAGTGGCCCGATCCGGCTCGTTCCGACTTATATTGAATTGAAAGACAACTTTTGGGAAAGTTTCAAGCAGATAGCTAGTTTGCGTAGAAACGGACGGACGGACGGACGGACAGACGGACGGACAGACGGACATGGCTAGATCGACTCTCGTGGTGATGCTGATCAAGAATATATATACTTTATAGGGTCGGAAATGTCTCCTTCACTGCGTTTCAAACTTTTGACTGAAATTATAATACCCTCTGCCAGGGTATAAAAATATTTCAACAAAGTTTAATAGAATTGAATATACTATGATTGTTAAACAAAAACAAAGCGGCCTATATTTAAATTGAATATAATTAAAGGATATTCAATTAAATATATTTCGCTTTATTTTTTAATCCATGGCTAATTTTAAAATGACTTAAAAGATTTTAAGTAAATATGAATAACATCATATCTAATATTATCAACCTGCATTTAAATCTATTTTTATTTAGTCAAGCAGTTTTATTTGTTTTGTGTTAAAAGGTAAACATTTTATGTTAAAAGGTATGTTTTTATAATTAATTTAAATATATAGAACGAAACATTTAATTTTATATGCAGATATTCATTATTATTTATCCATCGTTTTTTTTTTATACCTAATAAATATTTAAAGCTAATATTATTATTTTATAAAAAGTTAAACTATTTATACCAACACGAATTGAATGCTTAATTATAAAACTAAGATCCAGGATATCCTATTACGTACATACATATTTATAACATTTTTCCAAGTTGTCGAAAGCGTTTTGTTATACCCTTGCAGAGGGTATTATAATTTTGGTCAAAAGTGTGCAACGCAGTGAAGGAGACATCTCCGACCCTAGAAAGTATATATATTCTTGATCAGGATCACCTCCTGAGTTGATATAGCCATGTCCGTCTGTCCGTCTGTCTGTCCGTCTGTCTGTTTCTACGCGAACTAGTCTCTCAGTTTTAATGATATCGAATTCAAACTTTGCACACACCCTTCTTTCCTTTGCACGCAGTATATAAGTCGGAACGGCCGGGATCGGCCGACTATATCCTATAGCTGCCATATAACTGATTGATCGGAAATGCCATAACTCTGCTGTTTGTTAAGTTAGGAAGTTGGGACTTTCTATGGGCTTTATATTTGGCCAATCAATCCGACGTACCAAATTTCATAAGGATCGGCCGACTATAGCCTATAGCTGCTATATAACTGATTGATCGGAAATGCCATAACTTTGGTGTTTGTAAAGTTAGGAAGTTGGGATTTTCTGTGGGTTTTATATTTGGCCAATTAATCCGACCTACCAAATTTCATAAGGATCGGCCGACTATATCTTATAGCTGCCATATAACTGATTGATCGGAAATGTCATAACTTTGGTGTTTGTTAAGTTAGAAAGTTGGGATTTTCTATGGGTTTTATTTTTGCCCAATCAATTCGACATAACAAATTTCATAAGGATCGGCCGACTATATCCTATAGCTGCCATATAACTGATTGATCGGAAAAGAAATAACTTTGGTGTTTTTAAAGTTAGGAAGGTGGGATTTTTTATGAGTATTAAGAATGCATCATATGAAAAATTTTGGAGAATATAATTTGCAGAATATTCTGCAAGGGTATTTCAACTTCGGCTCCGCCCGAAGTTAGCTTTCCTTTCTTGTTATATTTTTATACCCTCGCAGAGGGTATTATAATTTTGGTCAAAAGTGTGCAACGCAGTGAAGGAGACATCTCCGACCCTATAAAGTATATATATTCTTGATCAGGATCACCTCCTGAGTTGATATAGCCATGTCCGTCTGTCCGTCTGTCCGTCTGTCTTTAAAGCTATCGAGTTGAAACTTTGCACACACCCTTCTTTCCTTTGCACGCAGTATATATGTCGGAACGGCCGGGATCGGCCGACTATATCCTATAGCTGCCATATAACTGATTGATCGGAAATGCCATAACATTGGTGTTTGTAAAGTTAGGAAGTTGGGATTTTCTATGGGTTTTATATTTGGCCAATCAATCCGACCTACCAAATTTCATAAGGATCGGTCGACTATATCCTATAGCTGCCATATAACTGATTGATCGGAATTGCCATAACTTTGGTGTTTGTGAAGTTAGGAAGTTGGGATTTTCTATGGGTTTTATATTTGGCCTATCAATCCGACCTACCAAATTTCATAAGGATCGGCCGACTATATCCTATAGCTGCCATATAACTGATTGATCGGAATTGCCATAACTTTGGTGTTTGTGAAGTTAGGAAGTTGGGATTTTCTATGGGTTTTATTTTTAACCAATCAATCCAACCTATCAAATTTCATAAGGATCGGCCGACTATATCCTATAGCTGCCATATAACTGAACGATTGGAAATGCCATAACTTTGGTGTTTTTAAAGTTAGGAAGTTGGGATTTTTATGAGTATTAAGACTGCATCATATGAATAATTTTGGAGAATATAATTTACAGAATATTCTGCAAGGGTATATCAACTTCGGCTCCGCCCGAAGTTAGCTTTCCTTTCTTGTTTAGAATGTTTTTTCGATGCCATTTTTTTTTAATTTTTCAGTAAAATATTATTTATTTATTGGTGTCGCTTACAATTCATTTTTAATAAGTTATTTGTTTCCCCTTTGGGTTTCTCTTTTTCTAAACAATTAAAATATTTAATATAATTATGATTTTAATTATGATAATAATTTTATATAATGTTATTATAATACGTATAATATAAAAATACCCCATATTTTTAAATCCATATATTTAAAATACAATTAATATAAAAATATTCATCCTGTTCAATCGCAAAATTTCTGAGGCTCCTAAAAATCGTTTACACGTCGCGTGCTGAATACCCTAATGACAATGATTCCAATGTGAAGTCATGTATGAAATAAATTATGTTTTTATACCCTTGCAGAGGGTATTATAATTTTGGTCAGAAGTTTGTAACGCAGTGAAGGAGACGTTTTCGACCCTATAATGTATATATATTCTTGATCTCTTTGAAATGTGGCTGGTGCTGTGTGTAGGCCGAAAGGCATTACCTTCCACTGAAACAGTCCGCGACCTGGCGCGGTGAAAGCGGTGTACTGTTTGCTTCCTTTATCCATTGGTATTTGCCAGTAGCCACTTTTTAAGTCGAGTGTACTTATATACTTGGCCTCCCTTAGTTGGTTGAGTATGTGATCCATTCGGGGTACCGGGTATGCGTCTCGTTCTGAGTGCTCGTTCAGCTGCCTGTAGTCTACGCAAAGTCTCCATTCTATGTTTTTCTTTTCTACGATTACTACTGGCGAGCTGTAAGCGGAATGTGAGGGTTCGATGAGATCCTGAGCTAGGAGTTCGTCCACTTGTTTGTTTATTATTGCTTGCATGGCCGGGTTTCGAGGGTAATACCTCTGTTTAATTGGGCGATCGTGCTTCATAAAGATCTTATGCGTGGCAATGTGGCTAACTCCCTTGATTTGACTCATCATATCCAATTCCTTTTTAAGGGTTTCTTGGATCTCTGCGTCTGTTAAATCGCCTGTCGCTAGTGATCCGATGCCGTGACTCTTCCGTGTTCTGTTTTTGTTTCTTTTTTTTCTGTGCATTCTTGCTGTGATGCCTCCGCATTGTAGTGTCGCGTTACATTGTTCCAAGAAGTCTATCCCCAGTAGAAGGTCGCCGATTACTTCTTCGAGGATTAGCAGCGTCATCGTGCTTGTTTGGTTCCCGAGATGTATTGGTACTTCCAGTGCCTCTGTGACCGTTCTGTTTGTCCCGTCTGCTAGTCTAATGGCTTCGGTTACTTGCTTCCTTATCCCCTGCCTTGCAATGTTGTTGGCTAGTTTCCTGGCGATGAAACTTCTTGTTGCTCCCGTGTCTATGGCCCCGCGAACTCTTGTGTTGCCTATATTCACTTGTGCAATCAGTCGTCGGCCGTTGAAGTTTATTGCTGTTGCGGGTGTGGTGTTTGCCCTGGGTGCCCGCTCTGATCCCATGGGCCTCTGGCGTTTCCCGCCGTTTCGTTCCGTCGACAGCAATGGATTGTGCGTATTCCATCATGTCCGCATATCCAGCAATATATTCTTGGTGTGTTGTTGCACTGCTGTCCTATGTGTTCTTCTTCTTTGCACCTTGAACATCTATTATTCATGCTGAATGATCTTGTGATTCCTCGGTTCAGTGTTTGTGGTTGTTCCTGGGGTCTCCATTGGTTTCTTGTTTGTCTCCCGAAATTTCCGGATGTTTGCTGTTGTCTCCCGAAATTTCCCGGTCGCTGCTGTTGTGTCCAGTGATTCTCCGGTGTTTGTTGTGTTGTGCGTTCCTGTGGCTGGAGGGCCTCGAATTCCTTTGCTAACTGCAGGTATTCTGCTAGGGTTCGGCATTCTCCCCGTTTAGCATACTTTTTAAATTCCACACGGCTGTTCCGGTAGACCCACTCTAGTTTTTTTCCTTCCGTGAGTGTGGTAAATCTCATAATCTTCCGTAGTTCCCGCGCGTAGTCTTTTGCTGGCTCGTTTGTACCCTGGTGTCTGCGTGTTATGTTTTCCATCGCTCTCTCTTCGTGGTCCGTTGGTCTGTAGTATCCCAGGAATTCCTTTTTAAAGTTTTCCCACGATGGCATTGGGGTAGGATGCGTGTGCCACCAGTCCAGGGCACAGTCTCTGAGCAAAATTACCATAGCTCCTGCTGCGTGGTCGAGCTCTATCCCATAGGCCTTTGCCAGCTCTTCCATTCTAGAAATGAATTCTGTCGGGTCGCCCGTGCCGTCGTAAAATTCTCCCCAGCTTCGTATTACTCCCATTGTGGCCACTTTGTCGGTCTTTCTGGGCTCGGGTGCGGGTTTTCCGTTGCTTGTCTCCTGTTTGTCTGGTATCTGTAGCAAGTTCTGGTTTTTCTCCATTCCGTCGGGTGCTGGTGATGGTGTTCTCGCGTGCTTCTGTGCTAGGTCTTGGAGACGTTTGGTGGTTTCTTCGCTGTGGGCACCGCTCTTGATTAACTCCGACATTTGTTTCCGCATGTCCTCGCACCGCGTTTCTGGTTTGATGTCGAATTCCCTCAGATAGATTTCCAGTTGGGTCTTGTTGCAATTGTTGATCCAGCTTCGAGTCAGTTTGTCTTCCATTTTTAATCCGTGCTGTGTTGAGGAAGAGGGTAAACGATCTTTGCTGGTATTTTGAGGTTTCTATCTGTTTGTTTTTAACCTGTTCGGGCGCCACTGTAACGACCCTGTTTTGGGAGGCGGTATAGCTCGCCGTGGTCAGGGTTCGTGACAGATATTTATATTTATTCCTCTATAGATCGGTTTACCTCCCTTTCCCCAATAATGACACAGATGGGTAAAACTAGAGACGTGTATTTCAAAGTAATCGTATAATCGTGTAGTTGTGTGTAGATGCGTCGGGACTGCTTGTTCTGTCGATTCGGCGCTTCGGAAGAGCCGAGTGATGAACTGCTTGCTGTCGTGATCCGATGTGCGAGTGTCGGTGCTGCGAATGGGCCGAGTGATGAACTGCTTGCTGCGAGTGTCGGCGCTGCGGATGAGCCGAGTGATGAACTGCTTGCAGTGAGAGATCTACTTGGTTTCTAGTGGGATTCGGGAATGTAGGGCATCGTTAGTTTCGGTCTGCCGGGCATCGTTAGGTTCGAACTGCCATTTCTACATCCGTTTCGTTTCCGGGTCGGGAGCCGGAAACGTGACTTCTGGGGGAACTCACTGAGGTGGGCCTGTATTACGAAAACCGGGCCGCCTCAGTGCTCACGACTGGGTCTGGGCTGATTTCTAGGAAACCACACCGGGACGCCAGTGATCCTGTCCAGGTCGTAGAACCGATTTAAAAACCGCGTTCTTGAGGATCCACTACTACTACCAAGACTATCAACCAGAACACTTACCTTGTTGCTGATGATTCCTCGAAGATCGTCGGAACGCAAGTGACTCATCTGGGGTCTTGCCTCTGCTTATATAGGCCCCGTTGAGTGTGCCCAGAGTGGTCGATGACGAGAATCCCGATCTCGATAACTCGTTATCGGGTCACGAGATATAGCGATGGTAGTCGACTATCGGTATATTAGTGTGACCGGTTTAATGTTTTTTGGGCGCGCGTTTTGAAAGTGCGCGATTTTGGCGCGTGTTTTGAATGTGGTGTAGCGTAGGGAGAATAAAAGATCATTGTGTGTTGTTTTTGGAATGTTCTTTTATTATTTGTGACGCTCGGTGGTCACAGAAGCTTGATGTAAACTTTTTTATATACCTTAAAAATGAATGTCTGCGTATTTAATTCATAGTTTCGTTTTACATATTTAAATTAAAGCTAAAAACATAACTTTTAATACAACACATATAAAACTGCTTGATTAAATTTAAAACAAGAAAGGAAAGCTAACTTCGGGTGGAGCCGAAGTTGATATACCCTTGCAGAATACTCTGTAAATTATATTCTCCAAAATTATTCATATGATGCATTCTTAATACTCATAAAAAATCCCAACTTCCTAACTTTAAAAACACCAAAGTTATGGCATTTCCAATCGTTCAGTTATATAGCAGCTATAGGATATAGTTGGCCGATCCTTATGAAATTTGATAGGTCGGATTGATTGGCTAAAAATAAAACCCATAGACAATCTCAACTTCCTAACTTAACAAACACAAAAGTTATGGCATTTCCGATCAATCAGTTATAAGGCGGCTATATGATATAGTGGCCCGATCCGGCTCGTTCCGACTTATATTGAATTGAAAGACAACTTTTGGGAAAGTTTCAAGCAGATAGCTAGTTTGCGTAGAAACGGACGGACGGACGGACGGACAGACGGACGGACAGACGGACATGGCTAGATCGACTCTCGTGGTGATGCTGATCAAGAATATATATACTTTATAGGGTCGGAAATGTCTCCTTCACTGCGTTTCAAACTTTTGACTGAAATTATAATACCCTCTGCCAGGGTATAAAAATATTTCAACAAAGTTTAATAGAATTGAATATACTATGATTGTTAAACAAAAACAAAGCGGCCTATATTTAAATTGAATATAATTAAAGGATATTCAATTAAATATATTTCGCTTTATTTTTTTAATCCATGGCTAATTTTAAAATGACTTAAAAGATTTTAAGTAAATATGAATAACATCATATCTAATATTATCAACCTGCATTTAAATCTATTTTTATTTAGTCAAGCAGTTTTATTTGTTTTGTGTTAAAAGGTAAACATTTTATGTTAAAAGGTATGTTTTTATAATTAATTTAAATATATAGAACGAAACATTTAATTTTATATGCAGATATTCATTATTATTTATCCATCGTTTTTTTTTTATACCTAATAAATATTTAAAGCTAATATTATTATTTTATAAAAAGTTAAACTATTTATACCAACACGAATTGAATGCTTAATTATAAAACTAAGATCCAGGATATCCTATTACGTACATACATATTTATAACATTTTTCCAAGTTGTCGAAAGCGTTTTGTTATACCCTTGCAGAGGGTATTATAATTTTGGTCAAAAGTGTGCAACGCAGTGAAGGAGACATCTCCGACCCTAGAAAGTATATATATTCTTGATCAGGATCACCTCCTGAGTTGATATAGCCATGTCCGTCTGTCCGTCTGTCTGTTTCTACGCGAACTAGTCTCTCAGTTTTAATGATATCGAATTCAAACTTTGCACACACCCTTCTTTCCTTTGCACGCAGTATATAAGTCGGAACGGCCGGGATCGGCCGACTATATCCTATAGCTGCCATATAACTGATTGATCGGAAATGCCATAACTCTGCTGTTTGTTAAGTTAGGAAGTTGGGACTTTCTATGGGCTTTATATTTGGCCAATCAATCCGACGTACCAAATTTCATAAGGATCGGCCGACTATAGCCTATAGCTGCTATATAACTGATTGATCGGAAATGCCATAACTTTGGTGTTTGTAAAGTTAGGAAGTTGGGATTTTCTGTGGGTTTTATATTTGGCCAATTAATCCGACCTACCAAATTTCATAAGGATCGGCCGACTATATCTTATAGCTGCCATATAACTGATTGATCGGAAATGTCATAACTTTGGTGTTTGTTAAGTTAGAAAGTTGGGATTTTCTATGGGTTTTATTTTTGCCCAATCAATTCGACATAACAAATTTCATAAGGATCGGCCGACTATATCCTATAGCTGCCATATAACTGATTGATCGGAAAAGAAATAACTTTGGTGTTTTTAAAGTTAGGAAGGTGGGATTTTTTATGAGTATTAAGAATGCATCATATGAAAAATTTTGGAGAATATAATTTGCAGAATATTCTGCAAGGGTATTTCAACTTCGGCTCCGCCCGAAGTTAGCTTTCCTTTCTTGTTATATTTTTATACCCTCGCAGAGGGTATTATAATTTTGGTCAAAAGTGTGCAACGCAGTGAAGGAGACATCTCCGACCCTATAAAGTATATATATTCTTGATCAGGATCACCTCCTGAGTTGATATAGCCATGTCCGTCTGTCCGTCTGTCCGTCTGTCTTTAAAGCTATCGAGTTGAAACTTTGCACACACCCTTCTTTCCTTTGCACGCAGTATATATGTCGGAACGGCCGGGATCGGCCGACTATATCCTATAGCTGCCATATAACTGATTGATCGGAAATGCCATAACATTGGTGTTTGTAAAGTTAGGAAGTTGGGATTTTCTATGGGTTTTATATTTGGCCAATCAATCCGACCTACCAAATTTCATAAGGATCGGTCGACTATATCCTATAGCTGCCATATAACTGATTGATCGGAATTGCCATAACTTTGGTGTTTGTGAAGTTAGGAAGTTGGGATTTTCTATGGGTTTTATATTTGGCCTATCAATCCGACCTACCAAATTTCATAAGGATCGGCCGACTATATCCTATAGCTGCCATATAACTGATTGATCGGAATTGCCATAACTTTGGTGTTTGTGAAGTTAGGAAGTTGGGATTTTCTATGGGTTTTATTTTTAACCAATCAATCCAACCTATCAAATTTCATAAGGATCGGCCGACTATATCCTATAGCTGCCATATAACTGAACGATTGGAAATGCCATAACTTTGGTGTTTTTAAAGTTAGGAAGTTGGGATTTTTTATGAGTATTAAGACTGCATCATATGAATAATTTTGGAGAATATAATTTACAGAATATTCTGCAAGGGTATATCAACTTCGGCTCCGCCCGAAGTTAGCTTTCCTTTCTTGTTTAGAATGTTTTTTCGATGCCATTTTTTTTTAATTTTTCAGTAAAATATTATTTATTTATTGGTGTCGCTTACAATTCATTTTTAATAAGTTATTTGTTTCCCCTTTGGGTTTCTCTTTTTTCTAAACAATTAAAATATTTAATATAATTATGATTTTAATTATGATAATAATTTTATATAATGTTATTATAATACGTATAATATAAAAATACCCCATATTTTTAAATCCATATATTTAAAATACAATTAATATAAAAATATTCATCCTGTTCAATCGCAAAATTTCTGAGGCTCCTAAAAATCGTTTACACGTCGCGTGCTGAATACCCTAATGACAATGATTCCAATGTGAAGTCATGTATGAAATAAATTATGTTTTTATACCCTTGCAGAGGGTATTATAATTTTGGTCAGAAGTTTGTAACGCAGTGAAGGAGACGTTTTCGACCCTATAATGTATATATATTCTTGATCAGGATCAATAGGGGAGTCGATATAGCCATGTCCGTCTGTCCGTCTGTTTCAATACCGTTTGCGAGCTCAGTTTAAAAGCTAGCGATCTGAAACTTTCACACTCGTCCTAAAACATGTGTACGCAGATCAAGGTTGAAAATCGCCCCGATCGGACGTCTATATCCTATAGCTCCCATAGGAATCGGATATATCTTGCAAGAATTGATGATATTTCGCGCAGTGTAAAAGCTGTTAACATAAATCTTTCCAAATTATTTTTTTACGCATACCTTGATCAGGGTAAAAGCGCTTGCCGATCGGACGTTTATATCTTATAGCTTCAGTAGGAAAAATTGTTAAAGGCTGCGAAAGTATCCCTTTTTTTCTATTTTTATATGACATTTTTGCAGTATAAAAGCAATTGACATCAAACGATGCAAATCTAGTTTATTTATGTATGCCTTATTCCTTTCGATACTTTTTCAGTTTTAGCAATTTCGGCAAAGTCTGCAAGGGTATTAAAACTTCGGCTTGCCGAAGTTAGCTTCCGTCCTCGTTTAGCATGTTATTCCCTTCACCTCATTTTTGGGTTATGTTAAAGTGTCTGTAAAGTAGGGGTGCAGAAACATCGATGTTCGTGCCCTTCGATGTTTTCGATGTTTTCAAAAAAAACATCGAGTGAAACATCGATGTTAAAAAAAAAAAAAAAAGAAAAGGCAAAACAGTACAAACGATAACAATGAGGTTTATTTGAGATCATTTAAAGTGTCTATTTTTGTTGAGGAAAACAAGTTGATCAACAACTTCAGGTTTAAGCCTTGTTCTGCGATCAGATACAGTTTGTCCAGCTTTGCTGAACACCCTTTCAGACTCACAGGACGAGGCTTGTACACAGAAATATTTTTTTGCAACCAATTTTAATTCGTTGTCATCAGTCATCTGTAAAAAGTTTTTCTTATTTAACATGTTTGTCATAATTATTTGAAAATCATACCTCCCAATACTTTAAGGGGTCGCAAGTGTCAGGAGTGTTTTCCTTTTCCATAAATTGCCTTGTGGCAATAATGGCATCAGCTCGGGTGGACTTCACTTTTGATTTGTTTTGCAAACATGAAAATGTGCATTTTGGCTCGTTTGACGTTGGTTCGATGAACCATCGATGGTTTCGATGTTTTGAAAACATCGATGTTATCGATGTTTCACTCGATGTTTCTACACCCCTACTGTAAAAACACTTTTTTT